CTCAGGCAAGGATCCCAATGAGCAACAGCTGTTCGCAATCACCTCATGTAGTTACTCCTTTGTCCTTTATGCTGAGTAGCATGCATCCTGATACAACTCCCAAATGCTTTCATGGACATTCCCTTTGATCCAATGCTCTGCCACCACCTGATGGCCAACCAGTCTCTCCTCACCCTGCTCGGAGTCGACACCCTGTCCAGGGTCCTCCACCTCCTCCAAGACCGACTCATAAGACCCCTTGCTGTCGGAGTCTGGCGACAGCTCTAACAGCTCCTGCCGGGCCACAACAGGGATCAATAGGTATTAGTGTAGAAGGCAGAATAGCTGACTCTGAATGCCATCTTCTGGGAGACTAGTTGGCTTTCTTGTACAGTTGGTTGGTACTCTGAGGGCTGCTGAAACTAATTGAGTAAGGGATCCAATCCAGCTGGGCACTGCTTGGAAAACTATAAAGATAATAAAAATTTTGGTCTGTTGGTTCATAACATACTTTGTTGAAAGTTTGCCACTCTGGTGGATCACTTTTTTGAAAATTCCTACTCTCCATTTCTGTTTTTGTTGATTTGAAGAAAATACATGAGCCATGGCTAGGAAGGTATTTTATAGATATTGTGCTTTGCAGATAAAAAGAGAGGAGATTTACTTCTGACAGCATAGTCCATGCTTGAGCTCTTCACTCATATGCTGTTGCACTGTTTGCTAAATGCTTTTTATCAGAATTTCTTACTTTTTAAAAGTACTTTGCAAGTCACAGAATCCCAAGTCACATATTAAAAATAATTGATAACCCATCACCTCTGCAGTCTTGGGCAAAGGCACAATTTTTCTAGAATTTTTCTTATTATAAAAACTTTCCTGAACTTAGATGTCCCTCACACTCAGAATTCCATAGGCATTGTTGATAATTCTGTGACATAAGCTCATATATCTGGAGGCTACCAGGTTGGAAACATGCATGTTTGGTGATGATTTTCCCAGAAAACAAAATTGCAGCCTCCTATGTCCATGGGACGTAATGGCTCAGTGGAAAAGATACTGAGCTTGTCGATCAGAAAGGTCGGCAGTTTGACTGTTTGAATCCCTAGCGCCACGTAATGGAGGGAGCTCCTGTTACTTGTCCCAGCTTCTCCCAATCTAGCAATTTGAAAGCACATAAAAATGTAAATAGAAAAATAGGAACCACCTTTGGTAGGAAGGTAACAGCGTTCTGTGCGTCCTCGGCATTTAGTTATGCTGGCCACATGACCACAGAGACATCTTCAGACAGCTCTGGCTGTTTGGCTTTGAAACAGAGATGAGCACCACCCCCTAGAGTCAGGAACGACTAGCACATATGTGCGAGGGGAAACTTTATCTTTATGTCCATGCATCNTTAGAATGTGGTATTGCAGGCTAATTCTGCCCCCTGCCTGGAGTTCAATCCTGACCGGCCCAAGGTTGACTCAGCCTTCCATCCTTCTGAGGTTGATAAAATGAGGATCCAGATTGTTAGGGGTCCATAGGCTGACTCTGTAAAACCGCTTAGAAAGGGCTGTAGAGTAGTATGAAGTGGCATGTAAGTCTAAGCGCTAGTGTGTAAGGATGAGGCATACTAACACTTATTTAAAAATTATCTGTATTTTGATCTCTTCTTATTACCTCACCTCTTTTGCCACAGCTGGGAGATAAAAGAAGTTAGAACATTGTAACGTCAGAGAAACTCGTCAATTCTATAACTTTCCAAATAGGAGGGAGCAAAAATAAATATAGCTGTATATCTGTCCCTTACACCAGCTGATTTGTTTAAAAAAAATGTTTTTACCTATCTACAAAATAAAATGCCCAGTTTGATGAAAAACTCAAAGTTCTTCGAACCCTACTACATCGTATACTCAGAAAGGACTTGTATATTGACTAATAAAAGCACATAGTTATAAAATTACTTCTGTCTCACCAAAAACCATGAACTATTATTTCAGGCATGAAATGCTCCAATCTTCTCTACCAGTTCGGAACTGGGAGCATGGACGCATGTGGAGCTTCTGCGCATGCACAGAGCATCCATGATAACGTCTGGGTGGGTGGGCAGAGCCTCCCATCACCGTCACTACCAGTTTGCCCGAACTGGGGCGAACCGGCAGAATACCATCTCTGTGTTATTTCCATATTATCTCACATGTGGTTGCTGTAAAAAGTTCATAGGCATTGAAAGCGTTTTCTGCCCAAACTTTGGACCAAATACAATCCTTAATTTACTTCTACAATCCTTAAAACCCACAGGGGTAATAAGAGTGAGTGAAGTAGAATTCAATGTTGCCTTACTAGGGAAAGGGAGTTTCTTTCAGGATTGTGCTAAGATGCCAGTGGTTTTATTTAATCCACGCTGGAACTGAACCCTTATTTGGGGACAAGAAAGTCTCATCAAAAAGGGGGCTTGTCTTTAAATGTAACTTTCAGCTTGATGACCCTCAAGAATAGCTAAAGAAAAAAATATTTTTGATTGCAGCTACCCCTAAGACTTGTGAGGAGAAACTATGTGGAAGTGGGACCTGCCATGAACAAGAAGGAAACATCACCTGTTTATGCCCAACTGGATTTATGGGTGATTACTGTGAGATAGGTGAGTATTGATTTCTTCTTAATCATGATGATGTTGTGTCTGACTCTTGATGATTCTATGGGCAAGGTGTCTACACATCTTCCAAAGAACAGCCATCATTTGTTCTTTGGCGGTCTGGTTTTCTTTTACTGCTAGTTATTCCAAACAGACTATATTTTTTGGACTATAAGACATTCTTCCCCCCTCCCCTAAAAGAGGGTGGAAATTTGGGTGCATCTTATATACTGAATGTAGCCAAAAGTGCAAGGCACGGAGGAGACAATGGTCTGTGGCAATCCCTGCAGCCTGGAACAGCTGATTGGGGGTATTTCGGGAGGCCGATCCACCCGCCAATCAGCTGCTCACGCTGAATCAGGCTGCAATAATGTGCATAAACTAACCTGGCTGTTCGCTATTTGCTGCAAGGACGTGTCAGTTTGCAGCAGCAATCACATTCAGAAAGTACACACAAGTTTCAGCAGGATTCAATAACTTCTCTGTATGTATGTATGTATGTATGTATATGTGTGTGTGTGTGTGTATATATATAATCTCATAACATAACATATTAAGTAAATATACAGTATCAAAAGCAGGTTTTCCAACATGGTAGTTCAACAGAGAAGTTTCACTTTCAGTTTTAGTTTCAGATATCAGCACAGCATGCAGCTTTAGTACAGAACAAGCCATGCCCAGGTTCCTTGCTGTCTCCTTCCTTGTTGCTCACATAGCAAATACTGTTTGTTTCCAAACAGCCCTCAACTCTCTCACACACTGACAGGACGCTAGCCAGATGAATATCATGGATGCTGGTAGGCAGAGGCAGATTTTTTTCTTATTTTCCTCTCCAAAAACTAAGGTCTGTCTTATACTCCGGTGTGTCTTATAGTCTGAAAAATACGGTAATTGCTTTTTCCAGTAAAATCCCCCATATGACATGACCAAAATAAGTGAGATGCAGTTTTGTGATTTTGCCCTTCCAGAGACATGCCTGGTGTTAGGCACTCCAGTACTTTGCTCTCCAAGGAATATGCAGGAGCTTTCCCCTGCACCACACCTCAAATAAGTTAATGTTCTTCCTGCCTTGCTTTTTTAAGGTCCAACTTTCACAATCGTAGGTAGCTACGGGGACCACAGCAGAACAAACTAACCTATTTTTGGTTGCAGGCTGATGCCCTTGCTTTTCCATATTTCCATATTCGGTTCACGTTCATCATTGCTGTGCAGGCTAGTGCAAGCCAGCATGTTATTTCTGGGCTGCATTCACCGTTATGAGCAATTTGTGATCCTAGGAAAGTGATTTTTTTTCACACATTCTATCTCTTTTGCTGCTTTCTTTCATTACACAATAGCAATGTAGGAAAAGTGACTATTGTAACAGCTTCTGCTGTTTGTTTTTTTCTTTCTTTGATTGCAATTCATTAATGTTGTAACCATGGGGAAGGAAGGGGAAGACATATTAATAAGGATTTAATGGAATTCCAATAATATAATAGTTTTTTTTATTTAAAACTAGCTGATAACCCAGCCGACGTCCGGGTATTTATTTATAGGAAGAAAATGCCCAGATGAAAGATAATTTCTAATGTTGGATTTCCTCCCTTCCCAGAGGGAGCCCCCTTGTGGAGTACTGTGAAGCCATTACCATGGCAACTCCACTGTGCTGTACAGTAGAAGGCTTTTTAAGGCACAACAGGCTGTATCATAACAGAACACACATCCTGAGGGGTGTTAGGGGTGTCTTACCCACACAGTATTTGTTTCCAGAGAGTAAGTCATCTGTGTACGAAGTTTGTTTGAAATTGTTCGAGACATCCCAGAGTTATGCTGGAACATGCACCCACACAAACAGTCATTTAGATAGATAGATAGATAGATAGATAGATAGATAGATAGATAGATAGATAGATAGATAGATAGATAGATAGATAGATAGATAGATAGATA